AATCCTTGAAGGGCCTAAGTTGAGGGTTCGGAAATCTAGAGTTGTGGTTTTGGGGATGAGATCGTGGATAGGAAGGGGATAGATAATGGGAGGTTTGGTTTTGGGGTTTATATGTTGAGTAGGGACAGAGATGGGTGTGTTTGAATAATGAGATCATTTGGTAGTTGGTTGATATACCATGTGTGTGTACTTAGTAGTTAGGAGTGGTAGGAGGGGAGGGCGAAAGCATGTCACATTATTTGGAGGATATGATGCATGATGTGATCTAGGATTGATTCACAGTCTTTGATGATTATGCAATTTATACAGAGTTTGGTTGGGTATCTCGTAATATAGGAAGACACCTGCGCTTAGTATTGACATGGAGGTGAACCATCCCTCATCGCTAGAAACATGTGATATATATCTAACTCCCCCACCTCTTCCTTCCTTCATTCCCCTTCCCATCACCCATCTTCTCCACCCTATCCCCCTCCCAAAACGCCTCCATCCCCCTCTCCCTCACCCACCCAAACAAATCACACTCCTCCACCATCTCCAACAATCCCTCCATAGACCACGCCTCATTCTTCTCCTCCCTATACCCCAACATCGCACCATGTTTCTCCTCAAGCTCTTCTTCCAACGCTCTCTCATATTCTGCACCCGCTGCTCTCGCATGCCTACGTTTCTGTGCGATTATACACTTCCAGATCTTGACGGTGTTGGGCGGGATATACGTAATCATTTCTTCGTCGGAGATGTCTTCCCAGTATTTTTCGAAACCCTCGGTGAGAGATAGGGTGGGTGAGGTGGAGGAATTGGGCGGTGATTTGTCTGGGGCAGCGAGCAGTTGTGATTGTGAGGATGAGGATGAGGGAGTAATGCCTCGAGAGGCTAGTTGGGGTGAATCGTTCCACCAGATCCATCCACTAGGGGTTTGAGGTAGTGGGAGAGTGTTAGTATTGGTATTGGTATCTAATGTTACTGCTTTCTTTCTTCTCTCAGATGGTTTTGGCCAACGCCATTTTCGAATGGGCGCAGGTGCTGGTATAGTCGATTCAACATTGTCAGGTTGAGGTTGTTGGGTTATTGTTCCCGTGCTGATTATGCTCCCCAACGAATGATTATTTCTACCGGGGCTGGAGATCGAAAGGTATGCGATCTCGGTGGTGGTGTTAGACATCGAGGGCGATTTTATGCTTCTGCCAATATTGTAAATTGCGAGTTGGTAAATGTTTGTATCTGTGCTGGATATTGCAAATAGCTGGATGTTCGCGCCGGCGTTGATGATCGACAGTGAGTAACTGCTTGTATAAATCCGAAGGTATTCGAATATATGTATTAATCTCAAGTACTGAAAGACTTCAAATGTCTGTATAGGTATTAAAGATTAGAAGTTATAGTATTAAATAGTGTATATCATCAGCGTGAATTGCAAGTATAAGATGTCCAAATTTATTGTAAAGAGAGAATGCAAAGTTGAAGATGAAAAAGAAATTCGAGACAAAATATACATATCAACCATGACGAACTATCCATCCCCCAAAATTATGCGGCCTTCAGTCTTTAGTTCCAAAGTTCTACTCTTAGTTCCCCGACTTAGTCGAATCTAGGCCATCTAGCTTTGCAACCAAACCTCTTTTGGACTTGAGTGGCTTCACCCTATATTCCCCAGATTCTCGAAATTTGAGTTTGAGCCTCACTGAATTGGCTTTGAACCAATGATATGAGACACACGTGATAGCTTTACTGCTTCGAGTAGGTAGGTTTGGTTGTTATCTAGCTCCTTTCTAACACTGTTGGCCTCTCGCTTGTCACCCACCTACCAATATATCATATCACCCCGGTAGGAATAATATTGATCGAGAGAGACGAACAGATCCGTCAATTAAACACCACTCAAGAATAAACTTCGTTCTGTCCAATTGGAAACCCTGGTAGTGGGAAGCTAACAGGTAGGCCGAACTTAGTCCACTGAGCAAGTCATTGGATATTGTGGGGTTTCCGAACGGAGACTCTGTACCGCCATGGTGACCGAAATGTATTCTATGAGTGAGTAACGTTTTGTCATTTTATTATAGCATCATGTTGAAGACGAATTGAATATTCTCCACTAAAGCATGGTATTGGATGAGCTCACTTCTCAGAAATTATATTACTTTTACCCTCGAGTAGGGAATTCTCCGGGGAATTTTCAAAAAAGCCAAGCATCACATCAATAAAATTGGGACTACTAGAAACAAAGAGCAATGAATGAGCACTTGAATGAATTTGAAATTGATTCATAAACCAAGCTAACTATATTATGCATCACTTGACTGCAGCCATTTTATTTCCAAATACACAACCGAAGAGACCGAAACATAAGACCTAGATCTTGATCTCCATCTCTAAGAATGTTTCCATTCAACACCCCCTTAACAGGTCGTAGCATCGCCCAATCCCAAGCTAACAGCAGCAAGCAAAAACTCCATATACCCAGCTCCAATCTCTTGCAAATTGAGGTTATGCTGAGCTTGGGTAGGGTAGAATGGACAACTAGATGCCGAGTTTCCAAATCCAAATTCAATGGTATAACCATGGATAAGATTCTTGGTCGTATCGGTAAAATGCCTAGAGTATGAATAATCATCACTGGCGCCGCTGGTTGGGTATAATGCCGCAGCTGGGATGACAGAGTATGTGCGTCCAGCAGCGGCACTCATACCTGCACCGATCTTTGTAGCTGCAGCTTTGTTGGCGGTAGCTTCGGCTGTGGGTGAGTATTCACCGTAGCCAGAACCAGAACCAGGAGTATCGGATACGATTCCGCGGACTGAGTTGTAGGCCGCGTTGAGGAAATTCATGGTCGGGTAGGAGGCTTGGTTTGTGTCACTTCCCCAGGAGTAGAGAACGTCACCGGTGTAAGAGTGAAGATCGATGAACCAGCGAACTTTGGAGTATGTATCCATCACCCATTTGATGCTTTTGGTTTCTGGCTCTGAGAAGGCGGCGGTACCTATAGGGTGAGACTGATTAGAGATGTTTTGGACCAGGGATAGTGAAGCATAAGTACATACCATGGAATACTTCAGAAGAAGGACTGGAAGACGCAACCTGACTTCGAACGCTTGAAGCCCACCGGGTCAAATCCCACACAAAGTCAAAGTTACGGTTCAAATCCACACCAGCAGAAGCACCAGTTCCCGATGCTGGGTTTCGGTTCTTACGCCAGCAGCTGTTGGTGGACTGGTCATAAGCAACACCATCAGGGTTACTAAGCGGAATAAAAACAATTCCTGTCGACAAGGCAGTCTTCACCTGAGCATTGGTGTATGACTTTGAACCGTATTTCAGACCGAGACCATTCTTGTTTGCATACAAGAGATCACTAATAAAGAGCAACAAGCCATCTGAAGAACCTCGCTCTCTTGCGTGAATGGCTGCATTCAAATACACGCGAATTGCATCATTACATGTTCCATTACCTCCAACTTTAGCGCCAGTGATGGAAGCGCCATTATATGTTTTGTATGGGGTGGTGAAAGTGGTGATACCGTATACACTCGCAAGAGCTTTGAGTCCACTTGAGATCTCGTTGACGTTCAAGAGTGTGGTGAAAGTGGTGGTTTGAGATCCCACACCTCGTGGTGCAATAGTTCCAGCGCTGTAGCGATCACCAGTTCCGATTGGTACGCCGTTGCTAGTTTGACGACGAACAACTCTTGGTTTTCCTTCCCTTTCTTCTGGGAGAAGACATCCCTGAGAAAAAATGGGAGCGAGAGCTGCGATGTAATACAATGATGTGAGCTTCATGGTGCCAGTTGAGTAGTAAGAAACTGATCAGATAACTTCACGTAGGCCATGATGCTCAAGTATATATATGTATCAATATCGTGGCTTTCCCATTCACTGTTTCCCCTCATCTCGGCCTTGTAGCTTCCCCTCGGTCGCAAATAGGTATGTGAAAGGAGTTCTTCAAGATTGCGAACCACTTGGCAAGCTTGGCCATCTTACATAAATCGCTACCTTCTCTTTCGAGAAACTCATCTAGTAGCTGAAAATTCTATTCTTAAAACGAAAAACGACATTTAGGAAGGTTGAGAATGAGTGATACATCAGCTTCAGATAACAAAAACCACTTGAGTATCTGCAATCCAAATGCCGCGATACCAAGCCCGGCATTCAGGAAGCTGAGAGCATGATAACGTTGGGACCTGCCACATCAGGTTGGTGCGCCAAGATCAATGCCTAGGCAAAAATGAAGTTCGAGATGCAAATTCCAAAGATTCAAGGAACATCACTTTATCTACCATAAAAGGGATACAAACGCGGCTCCCTTCATTGTCACCGATTCATATCGGTCTCCAAAATGGAAGTTCAGTTCAAAGGTTGATTTGTTCTTGTCAAACTCGCGCTTTACATCGGGGATCGGAGCCGCGACTCTATTGACCAATCAGAAAGTTTGTAACAACAACCACTTTGTACATGTATCAAATAGAGTAGAAGAACGTATCAATAAGATTATATCAGATTGCCTGGAAAATCTCAACGAAAATTTGAGTATCTATAAACCGGCGAATCACGACACTTCATGCAAATTCGACGATTTACCCGTTACTGCTCAGTACAGTTCAGAGAGGGGTATCGTAGCGTGATATTAATAAGGGTTCGTGGTATAGAACAATTGCATATGTACTGTCAGCTTTGGAACTTTTGAAGCCACCCAGTACATTCCATTTCCTTGACACGCCGTTCACAGCCTCAAAATTTGAATGAGCATTCTTATATTATGCATACCCTAAAGTAAATGTAGAAACCAACAACAGAAATGATTATAACATGAATCTATTCGTTATCTGCTAGTCATCTCTATCGCTTTTTGGTATACGCTATCGTACTAATACAAGTACTCAGTCTAATGACTTCTGCACAATGGTGCTGATGTTAATGCAATAAAACTCCAGTGACCCACTCTATCCATTCCAGACATTAAATATCATCTAGCCTTTCTAAACCATATGTAAATATAATCACTTCTAAGTTCCCTTGGCATTCTCAGCCTCCTGAATTTCCTGTGCCGAGTAAAATCTCTCCGGTCCCGGACGCGAACGAGCCCCTACAGCCGAAAGACTTGGACTCACATGATTAACATCATCCTGCCCATCCAAGTTCATCGCTGTCCTCGGCTTCTCTGTAATTTCTTTGCCCTTGCCACCCCTCTGAAGCGTATCTAGCATGTCCAGCCCCCCTTGTCCTTCAATTTCGCTTATCCCATCCGCTGAACTATACACAGGTGAACTATCAGGCCCAGCAACATTCCCCCCCGCACTTAAATGCTCGTTCTCCTTCCCCTTTACTCCATCCTCTGCAATCTTCACTGTTACATAATCCTCTACTTCGTCATCGTACTTCCGCTCATATCCTTCTGGAACCACGCTCCTGACACTGCCAACCAGTGATTCTGTGCTGGCATTAGCATCTCTCCCCATTTTACCATTACGCGCATTTCTCTCCCGAACACCATCTTTCATAATCCCATCTACCCCCTCCCCACCCATGCGCATGGAAAATGGGAAAGCTATACCTTGTGCCGTAGGTCTCCTCATTTCCTCCCCATTACTAGTATACCTCACTACCCCCTCTTCATTTTCGACTCCAATAATCGGTTGGTTTATTGTTATTCCTGGTACATCTGGTTCACCTCCCACTTCATTCGCTTCTTCAGCAGGAGCTCTTGACGCCAAGGTTGAGTGAGGAGTAGGTTCTTCAACCTGGGGACTAGCGATTTCCTTCGTAGAAAAAAGAGGATCGTCCACAGTCCTCATTGATTGTTGCATATCAGAATAAGTGGTCAAAAATTCCCCATTAATTTCCCCGCCCGATTTTCTTTTCACATCAGCGTTCTCATCCGCTATATCAGCGATTCCGCTCCTATTCGCCTTCATCTCAGTGAACCCCGCTCTAGTCTTTGTCGGCGTTTTGACGGGCTGATTTACCACAGGAGCTCCTAATCTTGGCTCGGTGTGAACAATACCGGTCTCATGAGCAATAGCATCATTCGTCTCTCTACTGTGTATGTCCCTGGCCCCAGCCCCGTGTTCTGCACTCGCAGTCGTAGTCTCGACATTTTTGCCTGCTCTTTCTGCTTCGATTCCGCGATCTATGGTAAGTTCATCATGTTTACTACCCCATGTACTCCATTTCGACAGCCCCCAACTCTTCTTTTGCTTGCCCCCACTTTCCCTGTCGATTTCAACACCAACCATTCTACGCCCGGCTAATGCACTAGGGGGTGGCATTTCTGGTACTTGTTGTAGGTCTAGAAATTGTTCATATCCTCTTGCAATTTCCTTTGCCCTATTCTTTTGTATCTTTCGCTTATCCTTAGAGTATTTCGTATCGAATTTTGTTTTTACAGCCATCCATTTCTTGACTGGCCCAGGTTTGACGACACCGACATCATTGGGTGAGATATTACAAGCGGGAAGTTTATCGGCTGGGTCAAGGGGAAATATGTTGCCATGACGGTCGACACGTTGACGGATCATATGATCTATGAAGGGAGGGAGGGGATCGCCTGCCCTGCCTATTGTTCCTATAGATCCGGCTATTCCCTCTGTAGATTCAGGTGTTTCCTAGTTTTTGTTAGTTCAGCTAATTCAAATGTGAAAGAATTGGTATAGGAAAAATACCTTTTGAGCATCCTCGCCAGAGTCTGAAGACTTTGAGATAACCGAAATGTCATCATCATCTAGGATCTCAATCCCCGTTTGCTGAGCTTTGGCTAGAGCCCAAGCTCCAAACTGTGCTATTGATCGATACATATGTTTAGCGGGTCGAGTAAAACTTAACGTTGGTGGAACGTGGCATAAATCATCCCAAACTTGTAATTGTACATCCGTTGGTGCCCACTTGTCCCATGCCTGTAGACGAGACTGTGGATCACAAAACGCATCCCCGGGTGTATATCGAACTGGATTGGCAGCTTTGTGTGCAATATAAATTTGTTCATCCCGTAACATCTCGCCACCGCCCGTGAGAACGAGTAGGGGTGGAAGACCACCAAGTGAAGTTTGGAGGACCGGAGAAACCAGAGGATGAGATAACAGCTGGTTTGTGGTATACATTTGAATTTGGTCTTTTATCACAACTAGCTTTCCATCAATCATGACTGAAAGATCATATCCAGGTTTAGGAATTGAACTTGCCAATGGCCCTTCATCTTTGTTGGATGAAGGTTCAGTGGCAGCAGCAGCATTATTATGCGTCTCTGGTGATGGGATAGCATCAGACGTGAATCCCCGAACTGCATCCCTTTCCGATTGTTTAGATGTAGCCTTGCATTCCCTCCTTGAAGTATTGTTAGAAACGCCTCTTTTTATATCCGCCAAATCATCTGCGTTTGGAGGTGGCCAGGCCGGAGATGGTCGGTGGTGAAATCCATGCGGTGGGATATAATCCAAAGGATTATCTGCAGCAACGCTCGGAAAAGAATGAGTCAAATCAACCCATGGTGAAATAAGAATAGCACCCGCAGGTAAAGGTAGACCATTATCACGCAGAATGACAAGCATACTCAACACCATACCACCACCTGCTGAATCCCCTGCAAAGATAATACTGGATGGTTGCAAATCATCAAGAAGACTGAGATACACTGCTAAGCAATCGTTAAGACCACATGGAAATGGGAATTGAGGTGCCAAACGATATCTAGGTGCTACGACCACGGCCTTCAACTTCCTGGCATGTCTTTGCATCTGATATCTATGTTCATCCGTACTTCCGAAAAAGTAAGCGCCTCCATGGACATACAGCATGACCCTCTTGGGATCTTCTCCCTTCTGATTCCTTTCTTCAAGATCTGCCTTCATCTCGATCGTTTCCGACTTGAGTTCATTCCCTGGTCGCCTCCATTTCCACCATTGATGCCCCCCAATGATCCCAATCCCTCCCTGTTTCTCCAATTGAATCGACAAATACTTTTCTGCTTCATGTATATGCTTCTCTGCAATGGTTGTTTCCCTCACGCTAACGTACGGAGGGTGAGGTACCCATTGCGAGGTGAAGGCTTGAATATCTTCGACTGTATGTTGAGATGCATAAAGCAGGAATTTGCGAATCAAGTGAAGACCTTCATCGTAGGAGATATGTGCAGTAGGTTTTTGCTTTTTGCGGGAGCGATCTCCGAGATACTGTGAAATGATTTCTTAGAGAGTTAAATAAATGTACAGGAAGGGGAAACTTACGTGAGCAACAAATGTTTGAAATACAACAGGAGCAACTGCCGTCCCGACCGAAAGTGTACTAAGTCCCATAGTTGCTGGACTTTGCGAGCTTGAAATTTGGTGTTGTTGTTTGTGATATAGTCTCGAATCGAATTAAGTGGTATTTCTTTCGCAAGTCCTCGCACCTTCGATCCCTTCAAACCAAATTGCAGATCAAATCTCCAACTCCTCACTCTCGATCACACAGAATCTTCTTCCACCAACGAATGAGAGTCCTAATTAGCTGTGTATGTATATTAAAGAACAAGTAGAAGATTCAAGATCTCCCCGTCAACAACCATAAACATAAAACCTTTGTTAACAGTTTTATCTATTCCCTGGGACGTGAACCCCTTTCTTTCACTCTACACGTCTCAAACACAACACGACAAAGTAACGGATAGTGTATAAGATATACTCGAAAAAGGAGAGGCAATTAATCAATAATTGATGTGCGAATAATACTTGGTACAAATAAAGGATATGGATATGAAATTGAAAACAAAACTGCCACCAAGTGAACCTACCCTATCTTGTTACCTTCTTGGCCAAATTGCATGTACACGGTACACACTTGGGTAGATGAACGTCATAGGTAGGCGGCGTCCTCGGCTCTTTCTTGTCATGGGGATTTTCGTACTCGCACATTGTAGCTGATGAACACGAGTAATTTATTTCCAGCGTCGTGAATGGTTGTTCAGGTGGAGAGATCAGATCCTTGGTGCATACATAAATTTTAAAGTTTAGCGTAGCACAAATTATGCTGGGGATAAAAAATTGTTAATTTTGCGATTGAAGGTTACCCCGCGATAATAGTATTTGGATTTCTTGTCGCAAACAACCTCGAGGCTATAATATCCAAGAAAAAACTGTGAAAGAAGAGTCGCAAAAGAACAGAGAATACAGATTAAGAGATAGAGAAAGGAGAAAGAAATAAAACATTATGGCTTCTTCACAATCAAATGGAGGAAATGGGGTATACTCTCCTGGTATGTTATTTCCTCTCCTTCTTCCTACTCGATCGCATTCCTCACTTCCATACTCCACGTTCATTTACCCCTCGCATATGCATACAAATACGCATATCCATGCTTTGAACGACAAAATACTAAACTCCATTTTCCAGAACTCCGTCTCAAAACCTTTCAACGCAGCATCGTCCTCTCCATCTTCCTTTGGCCCTCTCTCTCCCTCGCCGTAACATCCCTCTGGGGAGGTCCTGAGTCCGCCGATAAACGCGAATATATTGCCGGTACTCTCATTGATCTTCTCTCCGAGGAGGAAAACAAGGATGTAGAAGCCGACTGGATCGAGACAATTCTGCTACAGTTCATGTCTGACGAATTCGAAGTAAATGTCGACGATGGAAGCGCCATGGAAGTTGCCAATGGCATTGTTAAATGTAGAGAGGAATGTAAGAGGGGTGCTTGGGAGGAGGAAAGTAGTTTGTGCAGAAAGTTGGAGAAGGCATGGGAGACGAAGGGGGGAAAGAGTGACAGTTTAGCGCAGTTCCAGCAAGGAGAGGACCAAGGAGAAACGGATTCGGAAGCGAGTGGGGATGATGATGAGGATGGAGATGTGGATATGGACGAGGCGCCACAATTGGTGAGAGTTAAGGAACCAGTTGTGCCTCAGGTGGATGAGGATGGGTTTACTATGGTTACCAAGAAGAGAAGATGAAATTGGCAAGAAAACAAGAAGAAATAGAGAGGAGATGTAGGAGGTGTTGAAGTTCTGCAGATGTTCATGAAATGGCAAGGCTTGACTGGCCGATGGACAGTCTCAATTGGAATAAAGGTGGAACATCCTGAGATTCTCATTTTGTTGAGGATTCTAGAGCTGACGGATCACGATGAAGATGAATTCGCGGAGGTGGCGAGGGATAGCCTTCAGGGATCACATACAATTCGAATACATAGGCAAATCTATTTGATGAAGATGGATAGTTCTGTCAAAATCTAGCATCATCTATTGTGTGGAAGGTTTTCTCAATCTCATTTTTAGCTCGAGAGACCTCAATGCCTCAGCACGGAGGACTCACAACGAAGTTCCTTGGATGCGATTTTTGGCCTCTTCATTTCATATTGGGCTATTCGAGTGAGCAGAGCTGCTTGGACGAGGTTTTATATAGATCCTAGCCTTGAAATGTTCAATGCAAATACCACTAAACTAGCTAGAGAATCCAATCAAATGCATCACTCCCTTTGCTTTTTCTTATCCTAGTTCTATCCTGCTGAGTTAATAGGTACCACCACGCCAGTCATCTCTCCATGGATATTTGATGCTTGTACCAATTTGACCCTCCATCTCTCCAAGCCCCAGAAACTTCTACACCTAATTACTGTGATGAGCTGATTAATGTATATGAGGGATGAAATTAAGGATGAAATCGCCAACACCCGAGATTTCCATATCAAATCTCAACCCCTAAATGTCCCAATACGAAATATTCATGACGTAAGAGTATGAACAACCCCCTATGAAGCCTTCCGAGCACCGAGAGAAGATCTATATATATAGTCCCAACATCCTACCTCCTATACATCTCGGTAATAAAGAGCGCAATCTCAAAATAAAACAAAAGAAAACGCACTTTTTACACGCGATCTCCAGAGTCCGGGTCACCATCCACAATTATTTCTTTTCTCTTCCCTCTTTCCTCTTTTCTCTCTCCCCTCCTACATCTCCTCGATCTCGCAAAACTACACAATATAACACTCATACACAACCCCTCTCATCAATGCCCAAGATCCCAAACACACACCAAGTTATAAACCCTTCGTCTCTTTCATTTCTCACTCCTCACACCCTCGACTCAGCTCACCCTTCCCTTCCACACTCATTATCCTATCTCTCTAATTCTCAAACTCCCCACTCCTATTTCTAACACCCACTAACAAATATCTATCTCCATCTCCATCTCCATCTCCATTTCTATCTTCATCTTTATCTCCATCTCTATCTCTATCTCCATCTCTATCTCCATTCTATTTTTATTTTATTTTTATCTCCATTTCTATCTCTATCTCCATTTCCATTTCTATCTCTATCTCCATTTCCATTTCTATCTCTATTTCCATCTTTATCTCTATCTCCATCTCCATCTCCATCTCCATTTCCATCTCTATCTCCATCTCCATCTCTATCTCCATCTCCATCTTCATCTCCATCTCTATTTCAAAACCCTCCTCTCCATTTCCCCCATTCTCCATATTCTCCTCATTCTCCCCATTCTCCCATTCCCCTCCTTCTCCCCATTCCCCCCATTCAAAGCCCAATCAACCCACAATATCAAATAACCCTCCAACTCCAACTCCAACTCAACTCCATCTCCACCTCCCAACCCACACTCATTCTCCCATCTCATCTCAAAGACGCAAGAAATCCTAAACCCCTCAAGTTCCAAGCCATCTACATCTACATCTACATCTACATCTACATCTACATCTACATCTACATCTACATCTACATCTACATCTACATCTACATCTACATCTACATCTACATCTACATCTACATCTACAAATATAATATATACAGCCAAAACCATCACAACCAGTAAATATCCCTATAAGAAACCAACGATTTGGAGAGTATACGTACAAGAGATATTATACTAATACATATATACATACAAACTCAAACTATCCATAATGGATGGGTTCACAGTAGACGATGTAGCCTAGATACCTAGACTGTTGAAGCAAATATCGTTTTTTAAGGGGGGTAAACGACGATTCATACCCACACAAACAATGTAAACAAAATCCACATCACAAGATGAAACGTATCAGAAATGTCAATCAATGAAGAAATATGTTCTATTGCCCACAGGTCTAAAGACCTAATGCGGATATCTGTAAGCATAGTAATAGCAATAGCAATAGCATAGAAAGGCATAGGAAATGCATCTTTTGAATGAGGTCGCTAAGAACACAACAAAAAGAAGAGAAATCCAATCCCAAAACTCCTCATGTCAAATCATCCACAACGCCTGTGTCATCATCAAGATATGTTCAATTCCCTTAACACACTCAAAACATCTATTCCCAGTCCTCCTCCTCACTGTCGTCCTCATCGTCGCTCTCTTCCTTCTTTGCTCCTGCACCTACAGCCTTTTCCTTTGGACTGTTAGGAGCCCGACTAGGAGCTCCTGATGCCGCGCCTACAACATCATAACTACCATCGCTATCTGCTTGAGATTTTTCATCGTTGGATTTTCTTGGTTCAGTCGGTTTGATGGTAGGAGTTGGAGATGTAGCGGTGGACTTTTCCTTATCTTGTGTTGCGGGATGTAAAGTGGTAGAGGATTCGGCAGAAGCTGGTCTATCGGAAGTTGTCTTGACCTTCGCAGTTTTGTCATCTTCATCTTCAGAATCATCGTCATCGGAATCCTCTTCTGAGTCGTCTTCAGAATCGGATGTCCATTTTACTTCTTCTTCTTGTTCGGTTGCTGCAGCGCCTTCTCATATCGTTAATGCATTTTTCTTATACTTTCTGGGGTATCACAAGTAACCATACCTTTGAGTAAATCTCTCCTCTTAGCTTCGGCCGTTTCAATACTGTGACGAAGGAAATAGTATCGCTTGAAGAAATCCTCATATTTGACCTTGTCTGGTACCAATTTTTCCATTGAACTTCTCAACTCTTCATATTTTTCCAAGTCCTTAGCGATATCATCAGTCTTCTTGTCAACACTGAAAGTCTTAGCCCAAGGCTCGAATTCCTCGCTGACTGGATCGGTGGTGAAGCTATCAAGTGTAGAATGAATAACGTGAAGTTGCGCATCGAATCGTGTAGTATGGATAACTCTTTTCCCTTGAGAATCCTTACTCTCAAATAGGACGGCATTGGCTTGTCCATCAGCATTTGAAGTAGGTGGTGCAATGCTAACAGCATCTTTCAAGAAGTTTCGAATGTTCGTTCCAAACTTTAGGAGAGCTTCATCTGCTGCATCTTCCGCCTTTTGAATCTCTACTAATCTCTTCGCAGCCTCGGTCTTTAATCTTGCTAAAACACCTTCCGATTCCTTTAATGCCTCGTCTGTTGTGAGATCTTTCGAAGTTGACTCTCCATCTTTGATTGCGGACCCTCCTGCTGCCGCCTTCTCATCCTCTTGAGCTTGTGTAATCGTGAGTCCTCGTGTGCGACTAATGATCGAAGATCTTAGGTCGGTGAATCCCTTGGTAGCTTCCTCACTAACAGTATTGAACTCCTGTTGAGCCTCTTTATAGACATTCTCGCCCTGTAGATCAAATAGATATACTCAGCCAAAATACTCATGTGTTTGCCAACCATAATCTCTTACCTGTTTGACGACACTTCCAAAGAATCCACCTAATTTCGCACCCCAAGGACTTGAAGAGATAGCTTTATATGCTTCTTGGAAATCGGCATTGAGAGTTGGGGCAGGCTCTGTTGATTTCTCCTTGTTCTGATCGGGTTGGAGAGCTTCTTCTTGGATATGATCATATGCGAGATCCATCTTGACAGGAAGACAGGCGGTATGATTCTGTATAAATTTAAAAGTTCATAGGGAGTTTATCAAATTGTTTACGCATGGAATAATACTCCATAGAGTGGAGCAATAGTACGTTGTGATTGATCTGCAAGCAGAGCGGAACCTCGCATATCATTCGACCATAATACATATCCCGCTCGCTTTCAAGCCTCACCTGACCTGTGGCTGAAATGGCACACTAGCCACAAAGTCATGTGCAATTTGTCTAATCGGGTAATCTTTCGGTTACGCAGATGTGTAGATTCTAGAGATTGTTTCACAGGCGGAGACAACTTGTGAATGATGATAAGTCAAAGGGTCGATTAAGGATCCCCTCCAATCCGGCGAATGATTGTCAAAACCGAATTTCGGGGTCCTTTTGAGGCTATGTACATACCTAGGCTCCTAGGTACACACATTTTCCTTGGCCTCGGTAGTAGCATCCGGCAACTTGGCTCTTGCATTGATTTCTTGTATTATGGCCTTTGGGTGGAGTTTTGAGATGAATAGCGGTAGCTTCTCAGATGGACATATGCTAAAGACAAGACTACACCCAAGTAGCCCGGTGGAATGCCCACAACATGGGAGCCCCCGAAAAAGGTACAAGTTAGGTGTTAGATAAGAATAGTGCATATGCAAAGCTGGGATAGAAACTTCAACTTCTCATCCATTGATTTGTTCAAAGTTTAAGAATTCAATATCGAAGGCAGCTGGAGCATTAAAGAGTTTAATTCCACCACTTGCGTTGTTTATGCTGTTGACTCATACCTAGGCACAGTAGTCCGACCAGTGGACACAGTAGACACTCTGTGCAGAAAAGATGAACTGAGCATCTAACTACTACGGTAAAACTATGGGCCATGTTTCTAAAGAAAATGCTCTCCTCGTCCAGTAATGGTAACACTCAAGACCAACACAATCGCAGTAAATTGCTGCACGATAAACGATCGAGCATGAACGAACGTGTTGTGTTGATACCTACCTGAGCCTGGGTCGTCCCTATATACATATACGCCACACCAAGTCTTGTGCAAAAAGACAAGAAACCTTGCTTTGATTCGTAGAAGAGCCTCGCTCGTATCGCAAAAAGAAGAGAATCTTTCTCCTTTGTGTACACTGGACCTACTTGTCCCTACCTACCTAGTCCATGAGTTACTCAATATGTACTGGTGTATATATGTAAAGACTTTTATTTCCCTTCTCGAACGACTTGAGCATCCCATCAAAGGGGACTAGATCACATACGGATTTAGCGGACTTTTCGAATTTTGTTGCTGAGAAATCAAAAAACTCAAAAATTCACTGCCCCTCTAGAATCCCTGGAATCTTGAAGAATCATTCGAGGAAGGGGAAATGGGAGTAATGAATCTGTCCATCTGCCCATCTGCCCAAAAATCGTGAAATCAGCTGGGGAGAAAGTTTATCACTCAGTCCGAGTAAATCGTATTCCCCAATCCCATTCCTTCTTTCAATCCGAGGACGATATTGCGACTTTACTTACATCATACACATACATATTGGAGAGAGTACGAAGTACAGAGTAACATCAATCAATCAATTTGACCTGGACATCCATCCATCCATTCATCCCACCCATATATCAATTGAGGCCACGAATTCGAGGCTTCCAGAATCAAAAGGGTAGTCAACCATCAATAACCCATCACCTCCAACAATACCATACACCACACACCATACACCATACACCTTACACCGCACACATCCTCCACTTTTCGCATCCCATCCCTCATTTCTCTCCAAGATACTTCCCCAAGATACTCCCCCAAGAC